AATGAGGGTAAATTTAATATAGTTGTCCAAAAAATTCGTTATATAAAAATTCGCTATAGAGAGGTATGACTGTAGTTGCTTGGTAGAATATATGTTTTTTTTGGACTATTATTTTTTATGATTAAACCCTTTACTTTTGATTCAGTACACCTTTTGCAAAAGAGGCAACAAGTAGTCTCTCATTGAGACAAGACCACAATTAGTTTTCTTTACTAGAAATGAGACAGTTTACCTTTTTTTGGTCACCTACAATAGACAAGCTATTGTTCTATCAGTATTAAATTTGAATACCAAATATAAAGCCATCCAAGATAATTAAGAACGTTTAATTATGATTTAAAGGTATAGAAATAGTAAATAAAAAATACAATATTTTTGTGTGATATTTTCCAATGATTAGGCTGAGAAAAGAGACAGAAATTGGATTTTTAAGAAATCAAACATTTCTATTCAATTATTTAAAATTAAATTAATCTAAGGTAAATGAAAAATAATAAGGATTAGTAAAATTAAATTTCACAGATTCTGCAGTAGTGTTATTTATTAAAAAATATTAATAATAAAAATAATGCTTTAATAGGAAGACTAATATTTTATTAAATAAAATAATTAAATAACCAATTTTATTAAATATTAATTTGAGCCTGAGTCACTATTAGAATAAAAAATATTTATGATTAAATATTCATATATTATTAATAGATTAATAGAGCTTAACAAAAACAACTAAATTCTATTAATAAATGATTGGCTCAGATGTCAGATGATCCTTTTTTTTGGCGATCAACTATTAATTTTCGAAATTGCAGGCAAATTTGCCTGCAAAACCATTAAGGGAATAATCAAAGATTTTTTGGCTATTTGATTATAGTTAAATAAATAAAATAATAAAAATAATAAAAATGATTAAAAATAATTAATGCTTAAATAATATAACTATTGGTTAATAATTAAATAATAACTCTACTTATAAATTATAATATATAATATAATATTACTGATATTTTGTAATATAATTAATTGTAAATTTATGTAATTAAATAAATACTATTTTGTTATTTTGCAAATTTATATATTTATTGTTATTAAATGATAAATTTTATAATATTTTAAATTTACAAAATTAAATTAGATTATTTCTTATTACTTGAAGAAAAATAATATAACATTTGCTTAATTTATCAGAATTTGTTTTATTTAAATTACTTTATATATTCTAAATTATTTTACATATATGCTGCTTTACTTTTTATATCAAATATATTTATATATACAAATTACTGCTCTATGTAGCTGTATTATTAAGTGGTTTTTTCTTTAAATAATATTTTTTGAATTATGATCATATCATTATCAAATAAAACTAACACATAAATATCATTTTAATTATATAAAATTTTATCTACAAAAAAATTCGTTGTTTCTTCACTAGCAGTGACAGTACCTGCATAATATTATATAATATCAAGATCAGATATAATATATAATATGAAATTTATTTGATTATCAATCATTTTTTTTTATATATTTTAAGGATGCAAAACAAAGCTGTATCAGTTGATACCACATACTTCGTCCCTGGTTTATTAATTAAGGTTTAATTAAACTATCACATGAATAAAGTAAGTTTATTTATAATAAATTTGGTCTAAACCCGGAGCGTCTAAAATAAAATTGTTTCCTCTTATACCTCTCCTATTTTCATTATGTCTCAAGTAATATTTGATAAACTTCAACCTGATCAAATGACTCAAACAAACCTTATATCTTTTCAAGATGGTACTTTTGAACCTTCTTTATCGGGTTTTACGCTTACTGTTTATAGTATCCATCCTACTCATGGAAACTTGCAAGGAAGCTTAAACTTAGCAAAATTTACTAACCTCAAGAAAATAACCTTTGCTTACGATTTTACTCTCGGGAAATTAGAAGAAATTGACATTAGTGAGAATACAAAATTAAACATGGTGGTATTAGGTCAAGATGGCAGTAACAATCCTTTTCAGGGTAATAATAATAATAATATTAGTTGTAGTTTATTAGCTAGAGAAAAGCAACTTAATCAAGTAATCGTAACTTATACTAAAATAGTTATATATCAGAATGGTGGTGCACGATGGACTGAAACAAGCAAACTATTAAAAAAACAAGCCGTCATTCCCGTCTTTTTAATTGAAGATAAAAAAGCAGAGCAACAAGCAGAAGAAATAGAAGAATTAAAACAGCAAATCCAAGAAAAAGATCAACAAATAGAAAACTTAGAAAAACATATCGAGAAAACTCTTACTCTTGAACAATTTCAAGATTTAAACGGGATAGCTTTGCCTAACTCTGAACTTGATTTTGAAAATCTAAAACAAGAAGTCAAAAGACTTAAATTGAAAGATTTCATTCCATATTTTAAAGAGCAAAAAGATGACTTTTCTCAATTAGTATCAAATGCTAAAAATAAAACTAAAGATAGCTTAGAAACTATTTTAGATCTTTTCTTACAAACCCAAAAACAACTCTGTGATAAGGAGAAAGAGAATGATTCTTTTACTCAAGGTCAGTTGCAAGGTCAATTAACTACTTGTCAGACGCTTTTACAAACTAAGTTATCTAAAGAAGAATTACGAAAGCTTTCCAATCAACAAAGAGAACTGCTAAAATTGGAACAGCAATGGGTTAGTTTGCAAGTAAATCATGAAAAAACTTACGTTGATGAATATTAAAAAAATCCTTTCCTTTTATTTATAACTATACTTTTTTTAAAATTCTCTGATATTATATATTTTTTCCCAGCTCTTTTTTTTGTAATTCATTAAATATCACAAGATCCTCTATAATCAACAATAAAAAATAATTTTTATAAAAATTTTATCGAACTATAAAAAAAAGTATAAAGGTATATAGACCAATTCCCAATCTATATAACTCAAATTAATGGTTATGTTTCATATATGTCATTTATGAGTATTTCAATATGAATGAAGAGAATCTTATGCCTAAATATTTTTTTTTTAAAAAAAAAATGACGCGACCGATGTTGGCAAAAAAATAGTTTAGATGATTGTATATTAAGGCTATGGAGTAAGTGTTGCAAGTGTTGCGAAAAGTGACCAAATTGAAAAATTTTCAAAAATTTATTTCTAAGTGAATTAGATGTAACTTTTCTCATTGATACAGAACTTTAATCTTGAAAATTTTTTTTTACAACTTAGTTCCTTTTCGCAGCACTCACCCCACATTCGGAGGAGTTGTTGGTTATTTCCTTTGACAGATAATTTTTTTAATTTATGTAGACCTTACAATCGGTTAATTGAAAAGACCCAATTAAAAAGAAGTCATGATAACTTACGCTATTGTTTTCGAGTGAAATAAAAACTTAAATCAGAAACAACGCTAACGCTTGAAAACAGTTCCGATCTATAACATCCATCATATATTTTTTACCAATGAATAATGTTAATTTTTTAATTGAATAAATTAAATTTCCATTATGCTTATAAGAAGTCGGTCGTTTTATATAGATAAATTTTGTCGATAAAATTGATTGTATCAAATACTTTTTTAAAATAATAACTATAAAATTATTGAATTGATTGTTACATGATGATAGCATAATAAAAAAGTTTTTATATAAAATATGACGTTCATTAAAATTTTTGAAGGTATATAAAAAAATTTTCAATGTTTCTTTTAACACAAAAAATGAAAAAATTTTAAAAGAAACCAAATGTCTATGACAAGAATATCACAAAATATTCACAAAGAAAATTCTATAAAGAAAGGTCTCAGAATTAATTCTTATAAAATAACAATTTCATATAAGATTCTAAGGATTTAAAACCATCCATCTTCACATTCACACTTTACAAAATATCCCCAGAAATTAATTGTTAACCAAACCCGTTAGTTTCAATGGGCATATCATATACTTTGGGACTTAATGATTTCCAATTTTCGTAGAGTTGTTGTGAATATTTGATTTGATCATTGACAAAATTCTGGTATAAAAGTGAAATGAACGCGGAACTTTTATGGAATAGTGTGAGCTCAGCATAAAGACAATGTCGTAGAAATATTTTCCGCTTTCGTTGTAATTCAATATCCGTTCGATCCTGAAAAAAGTATTGAAATAAATATTTGATTTAAAAAAAAAATTACAATATAATTAAGTACCTTTTGAATAACGCTAGTCAATCTGTCAACTTCTGGTTCTGCATCTTTAATTCCAGCCAATGGAGTAAGCTTGGCTTGATTAGTTTCTATTCGATTATTAAGGGTTTCGATCGTGTCCACAGCCAAACGATCTCTTCTTTCAAATGTCTCCTAAGAATAAAATATTTTTTCAATAAATTAAGGACAAGTAATTATTTCAGATTGAAATAACCACTTACTCTAAAAGAAACAAGCAAATCTCGATGTCTTTTCAAATTTTCCAACACTGTATCCAGAGTAGCAATGGCCTATGTTGAAAGCGTGAATTGAAGGAATATATCATGCGTATTCTTACTAATAATTATGCTCCATTCTATAATTACGTTAATAAATATTTACCGCATCTTCCATAACAGCTCCTGTTTTTTGGAAATGGCTTGACACTTGTTCTAGACCGTGTACTACTTGGGAACAGTTATAACAATCTTCAATGTAACACCCTTTTTCTTTCTCAATTAATGAGCTAAGATGTCACAAGATACTTTGGTTAAGATAGTTTGGATATAAAAAATTTAAGGTTTGCAATAAACTCACTTTAAGGCTAAACTGTATCGCATGTAATCTGTTGCCATCCCTTAAAAGACAAATTCATTCAAGAAAATCATTAATTAAAGCTAATCAAATAAAACAATTTTTTTTTCCACAATATTATAATTTACCTTCTTGTCTACGAGCCATACGATCCATAAGGTTACACATATTTCGATAATGATCAATGGCATCGTCAAGTTTATTGTATACTTTACTCAGTCTTTCATCTAAATTGTCCGGTATGCTTGTTTCCATTTCAGGAGTGATCTGTTTTTTTACATATTCTTCTTCCAAGACTGGAGTATTGTTTTTACGCCATTCAGCTATCTGCTAATATAATATGATGCAATAAATAAACGATTCATGATTAAATATAAATTTTAACTATAAAATATCAGTACCGATTGTTCCGTCAAAAACATCTCAACTAGGTCATCATTCCTCAAAACAGGATGCCTGGTAATAAAATTCAGGAATCGAGTAAGGCCTTTTCTCCTCTTCTCCAAGAAAGATTCGTCAACTGTGAAATAAAATCCATTCACTACTGGAATAAGTATTCAAGTACTTTTTGACAGTAAGAATTAATCAAATCATAAAAATTTAAGAAAATATAGCCTACCTCCAATTTTCTTAGGAGGTAAAGCAGGTAAAATACGGAATGGATATCGTTTTAATAAGCACTCCATTAACCACCAAAAATCACTATATCTCCTTACGACAGAGGATTCGCGTCTTTGTGACTCTACAATATAATTGACATGTTTAAAAAGAAACCCTTCTCTTTCAGGTGCAAATTTTATTGAAATCACATCCACATCTATGAACCATTGAAATTCATCATCGCGACTCATACTTCTAATGGTTGGTGGTGTTTGCGTTACACTGGGACGAAAATGTGATGAGGTTTCAACCGTATATTGTATATCCGTATATCCATTACTAGAGGGAGCAGCCCAAGGGTCATCGGCCTGAAGAGATGGAAGTGCAGGAGGACGTGATGATATGCCAGAGAAACTTAGGTTACGATTAAAATTAATGTTCTCCAGATTGTTTAAAATTGGTTCCGGAAGATCTAAAGTTAAAACATCAATATAAGTTAGTTCTCAAAATATTTGACAGATTAATTGATTCTTATTATAAAACATCTAATAAAATTCAAGACGACCTTGTTTGTGTTCGATTAGATTTTCAATTGAAACATCTAATAATTTTAGTTCAAAAAAGATATTAACTATTATAAATTCAATCATATTAGAGAAAAATAAATAATTAATGAAATCCTCTTTAGAAATACCCATATTTTTTTGAGCTAAGGCAACTAATGCGAGTGCAACGTTAAACTCGCCACGGTTCACACGCGTATTATTTGTCGGTACAGCGCAATTCAAGATCTGAAATTACAAAATGGATTTTGATAGAATCGATTATCTTTTTTATTTTATTAAATTTTATTTTATTTTAAAAGAAAATAATAATACTTTTTCTATTGTCGCATGAGGTAATCCACTTATACTTAGAATTTTGTTTAAAGCAGATATCGAAACTCTTCCACCATTTGATGATGCGGTGGTAAAAGCAGATACGTATATTTCGGGTAAAACAACGTCCGCTATAAATAAGTTTATTACAAGATCAATGGAATTGTTATTTGAAGTATATAAATTAACAATATGAGTGCTGCACAATCGACTAAAATAGCAAGCTAAATTAGTCGATTTTGCAAGACTACGTCCCTACTTAAAAAAAACATACACAGAATATTCGAAATATCATTTCCTCCGCCAGGAGGATCCCAGGGGTTACCAATATTTATATTTAAGGGCTCAGAACTGAATGAAAGAGATTGGACATCAGGAATATCGGAGTGTCCAGTCTCAAATTGCACTGGTTCAAAAAAACTACCAGACATATTGTTATCTTCTAACATTCTCTTTCGCTAATAAAAAATGTATATTTATTAGATCATTTATATTAATTAATAAATGGTAATTTTTTTTAGATGTTGATTGAAGTACTAATACATGCATTATCCCGTGATGTAATTTAAGGACCAAGAATTCCTCGATAAGGAGAGAAAGATCTTCCTTACAGATTATTACCAAATCACAATGATTTAAATTTTACAATATTGGCGTATTTCTTAACAGGCTAAATACACCATGCATCATGTGTAATTCGCTTTTGACAATTTTTTTTTGCATTAAATAAATCCATTTTTTCGATTTAAATATAATGATCGAGTAAAGAACGCCATTATGTACAATCACGCCATTATTATAACACTAGTTTTTATAAGGAAAAATATCCAAAAATTAAAAAAAATCCAGTTAAACAGCATTAAGCCAGCTCAGTTAATGCCTCATTGCTGGTTAAAGGGCTCATCTGGACACGAACGTAATAGGATGAATAAATGACGTGTAGATTATTTTTAAATTTTTTTAAAAAATTATGGGATTGATATCTATGTTTCAAGTTTATAAACTGTGTTCAAATTACTATGTTTATTTTAATATAAAACTTGATTTTTTGTTTAAAAAAGGTTTTGTATTGTACAAAAAAGTAAACAAACTAAAAAAATAATAGATCCAAATAATAATATGTACATAAATAGAAGTATCTTCAACATTAAACAGTAAATTTGCCAATTCAAATATATATCATAAATTAATCTATTTTTTTTTTTTTTTTTTGGCATTTTTGTCATCAGTGATTCCATTAAAGGAACAAACAATGTAATTGATCAATAAATAATAATAATGATAATAATGATAATTAATGATAAATAATCGTAAATTAATGATCTATACAGAAATCTGGGTTTTCTTTATGTAATGAAATCTTCTCTATCTTGTAAAATGACATCATAGAATGGTGGGGTGTGCAAAAAAAATAATTTGAAAATTAATTGTTTTTAAAGTAATTAGAAAGTTCTTTTTTCTACTCTCAAATGAGGAAACCTTCGCTAAAGTGATGTGAAACG